ATTACTATTAGTACTAAGAGTGTTTTATAAAATATATTGACGCTGATGGGCAGCTCATGATATTGGATTTACGGCACTTTGTAATTGCATTACTACACTATGTTATTGCATCACTGTACCTGTTGTATGAACTTGACTGAACAAAACAAATTTTAATTTCATTATTTCAAGTCGATTTCAATCAATTTAGAGAATCCCTTTTTTATTCCAAACATTTTACTTATTAAGCTGACAGGTGTAATCAAGTCATCATGTTATGGTCAACTTGTCTATGTGATGACCAGAAAGACAGAACATGTTTCATTAATAAATAAACTTTTCTGTCTCACTTAATTTCTAAAAGATTCGTAGATTAGCCAGAACAAATTTAGAACTCAACCCATCAATTCTACATTCTGAGTCAATTCAAGTACTGGGTTACGCTTGTAATAAGGTTTTGTTGTAGTGGTGTATAATTTAAATTTAACGCTAGTTCAATATCAATATCAGTATTAACACGGGAGCGTCCACAAGATTTTTCAAAGTGATCAAGGGCCCTAACTTTGGCAGTAATTATCGGAAATCGTTGAAAATCAACAGGATTCTTGGTCTCCTTACAATATGTTGACTCAAATTCAGACAAATCAACTGGCCGGCCGGGGGTGACGACAATATACGACCACATTTCAATGTGGGCGTATAAAAACTCTCACCGAAGGTGATAGTAATAATAGGTACGTACATTGCAAATGAATACGCACATTTTTAATACAGTCCACAAATTGATACATTTATCTAAAAGACTCCAATAACCATTGTAATCTACATGATGGATTATTTGATACATGCATTAAGAATTTGTGAAAATTAAGATTACTTTCAGAACAGCGCAGTTTACAGTGAATAATTTGTTCTTTCCTGCTACCATAGTGGAAATGAAGTGGTACTCTTGGGTCTGAGGATGATAACTTACTTTTGAAGCTTTGAAGTGTCAGTGAGGCCTTAATGTGATCTGATAAGTTATTCCAATATCCAATCACAGAAGGCAAGAACGAAGTACTATAATTAGTACTACAATTACTATGTATAGTACGATACTGATTTTCATTTCTAACATGATATGGGTTGATATTGTGGGTTTTAGGGGGTACAAGTATACTTAAGTATTGGGGAACGAGCTTATTAGTCGTTTTAAAAAACATAACCAATTTGTGTCTGTATCGCCTAGTTTCTAATGAGGTGAACCCTGATTCCGCGTATAACATTGAAGATAGTTACCACTTCCTTCTACACAGTCAAAATTTTTTTAAAGAACGACAAACAACTATAACTCTCCCATCCGATAAATAAGACATTTGCATCTTACAATATGGTGACTCAAATTCAGACAAATCAACTAACCAAGATATTGTATGTGCTGTTCATGATTTATTTCAATTATCCAAGCTCTTTGAAATTTAATAATTAATAATTATCCACTCAAATAATTGCACCCTGTCGAATAGTTTCATTATGGATGTTACACAGTCTTTTCAAAGTCCTTTGTACATTGGATCTCTGGCCTGCCCCGCCCTGCCCACAAATGTCGGTTATACGTTACAATAGCCGCCTATGATTTTGACGTAACGATCTTAAACTCAGCAGTCTAGTATCGACCCCTTCTTGGTCCCGATGCTAGCTAAAAATTGATTATATTCTTTCTATAACCTTATTATACACTGAGCGCCATGGAAAACGCATCACTTAGTTTTTCGTATAACAAAATGATCCTGTAAACATATCTTATTTATTTTGCTTCTTATTGTGAACAATATTCAAATGGGAACACATCAATAACAACACATTTGTACACTTATGGATGTTTAATCTGTAATCAACGGTACAAAGTCAGAGGGGTCAAAACCAAAAGTACAACACAGATGTCAGTAGCGTGTGTGTCCTTCACGGGCTCTTACGCACGCTGTGCAGCGACGTCGCATGGAATTTACCAATATATGAAAGAAGGCCTGGGGCAAATTGTTCCATTCTTGGACAAGAGCAGCTTCTAAAGCAGCAATGGTGTGCATCTGTGGTCACGATACAGACGGCGTCCAATCTCATCCCAGACATGTTCTATCGGTGCCATGTCCGGAGACATGGCTGGCCAGTCCAAGACATTGATGTTGTTAGCAGCCAGGTAGTTCATACTAAAATGGGCGGTATGCAGACATGCATTATCCTGTTGGAAGTGCTGAAGTTGTGGGTGTGCTCAAAACATCGGAACAACAATTGGTTGCAAGACATCATCACGGAAGGCTACAGATTAACACGACCCCTGCAAATGTGTAGGGCGGTCCAGTGATGAAATATGAAGCCTCCCCACACCATTACACTTCCCCCACCCCATCGATTCGTTTCGAAGACGCGGCAGTCTGCAAGACGTTCCCCAAGACGTCTCCACACACGTTGACTGCCATCAGCGTGATAAAGATGAAAGCGACTCTCATCACTGAAGAGCACACTTTGCCAGTCTACTCTTCTCCATGTCTGGTGTCCTTGAGCCCATATCAAACGCCGCTGACGGTGATGATTCATGAGGATAGCTCCATCATAAGGTCGTCGTGCACGGAGTCCTACTTCTCTTAGACAACGTCTTACGGTGTTGGCACTTACTGGTCCTTGTCTTCTGACGACTGCTGCACCTGTTCAAGTCGCTGGGCGGAATCTGTCACGCAGATGAGTGACCCGGATGTAGTCGTCTTGAGCCTGGGTTGTAACGCGTTGTGGACCAGGACGGGGATGGTAACGTGTTGATCCAGTAACTCGAACACGTTCCACCAACCTTACAATAGTGGACTGATGACAATTGAAGTGTCTGGCAATAGCACGTGTAGACATGCCAGCCCTGGACATTCCCAAGGCTTCATTCCGTTGATTTTCAGTAAGTCTCGGCATCTCTAGCTCGATTCCTTCACACGTCCAACAACAAATTACGACAGATTGACGTTTCACAGTTCATGTACTGCACATTAAGTTGAAAACATGCTTTTAAAGGTGCTGCACGTGAATATTGGGTTTTTCATGTGCATCTCGTGCAATTTTTTTTTGTGCACACGGGCCGATATTTTTTGCGTTTGGGAGCATTGTGTGAAACAATAGTTCATAGTATTGCATAATATTATACAAACAAATCCACCTAGTAATAAAATATTTGGGAAAAAAAGTGATGCGTTTTCCATGGCACTCAGTCTCAGTATATATGTACTTTAAATACTCCATATACATGTATATTGATAATTATAATATATGTTTATATCATTTATACATTGTATATCTTGCTTTTGGGAAGCCGATTTATATAAGCCTTTGGCTCGTTTCGGTATCCTGTCAATAAAAATATAGTTTAAAAAAAAAAATACTAGCTGAATTAATTACTTTCTCGGTTAATGTACATCTGACGTCCTCAAAACATCATACGAAGCAAGTGTATTATGCAATGGTAAGGCACTGTAAGTGACACAAACTATCAGTTACTTGCATGCACAATTAATAGTAAATAGAAAATACCATTGCCTGTGTATACACGGTATGAGCTATTCACCTTTTGGTCAGCCGATTGTTATTTGGAATATAGGGTGGTGTCATAAATGAACGTTATTACAGTATAGATTAATTATTTGATTGGTTGAATGCTATTGTTTTATCAATTCCCACCTGTGGTCACTTGCCTGGGTGCCATATGAAACCATGTTTTTGAATATGCATGTTCGTTAGTACAGTATAGATTAATTATTTGATTGGTCAAATGCTATTGTTTTATTAATTCCCACCTGTGATCACATGTCTGGGTGCCATATGAAACCATGTTTTTGAATACACATGTTCGTTATTACAGTATGGATCAATTCTTTGATTGGTCGAATGCTTTGTTTTATCACTTCCCACCTGCATTATTTGTAATAAATCACCTTTGATTTAATGCAAAATGATTTGATTTAGGTATAACAAAAATCGTTGTACTGCAGTCAATATTTGATTGCCATCAACCAAGTGTTTACGTAACATCAAGGCAGTAATCATTGAAGCATATTTCCTGTTAATACTGTTTAAACTCATTCCGATAGTCCTGTCTGAAAATGGACGACAGCTTGTCTATAGAGATCGACAGATTGTGGCTTTTTGGCGCCATTGCAAAAAGTCCCACAAGATTATCGCTCTGCCATATAACATTACGAGGTTGACTTCTGGTGACGTGTTCAAGTGGAAGACAATGTTAATTCATTGAAATTTAAAGAAGATACATTATACCCCGGATGTGATTTATCGATTTTTGATGTACTTGTCAATGGTGGAATTACTATTTTTAATGGATAATGGATAATAATACTTACGACCAAGGTAAGGTGAGCATCTATGGGTGTGCATTTTTTTTTTATGTAAATAATTGTATCAAAATGAACCGATCGGATAAACAGCTCGCGGGAAATTAAAAGGTTCATCTAATAGTTCAACACCGTACATAAATTTACCTCGTGTTGATTTTTCAACGTATCTCGGGAAAGTAAACGGCTCGTCTAATAAGTAGCGGCTCATCTAATAAGTAAACGCCGTAGATAAGTGAAGGGGTCGTCTACTTTTTAAACGACTCTCGGAGAAACTAAACCCGTTACCATCAAACTAAGCCATAGTACTAGCTAAACCATTTTTGTAATTCTTAAACGATTTTTATCAATTATCGAACGATGTTTTGAAAGTAAACTATATGTATACTTTCTAGCACCAAAAACCCTGTTCTAAACGATGCCAGTCTTCTAGTGTTATCTAAATCTTACATAATGCCCATTTAAGAAATGTAATTCTACTCAACTGGAAATACCGTTAAGTCTATCTTTAGATATGTCATTGACAAAGCTTGACACAACCAGTACACAAGTCTATGTATTAATATTATTGATTTTCCTACATGCCGTATGAATGAGTTTTTATAAATATTAAATTAGAAATAGACCTACACTTACTTCAGATAAAAAAAAAAGTCTTACCATAGAGAAGAACATTGACGATGCCATCAAATGGGAAATTGGGATTCTTTAGTATTTCTTCTGCAATTAACGTACAACAAGATCCCACTGGTTCAATAATGGTCTGGCAACTGAAAAAAACCCAACAAAAGTCCTAAGTAAACTCATTGTAGGAGTGATTTGCGATTGGATAAGATTACAGCTATGTAACCTACATGTGTCAGTATTGATTTTATTTCAAAACAGAAATTAGTCTTGATAACAACATGACTTGAAATTTGCTCCTGTTAAATTCAGTTGTCTTCCATTTATTTAATGTGACCAATGACTAAAATACTACATAAAGTGGCAACGAGTATGTGCAAGCCAGAATAATATATCAACTTTTAACCATACTATTTGTTGAATGAATCCATGACCACTCCGACCAAAGACCACCCAGACCAAGACCAGTCGGACCAACTGATAGACCACTCAGACCAAACAAAAAGACTATTCGGACCATACAAAAAGACCACTCGGACCAATAATAAAGTGTTGTTTTAATAAATTAATAATTGTGTTTGTTTTACTATGACAACTCGGACCAATGATAAAGTGTTGTTTTAATAAATTGAAAATTGTGTTTGTAAGTTAAAATAACGATGACTTGAGTAGTAGTGATTAATTTGTATGTATCTGTACTCACCCGTGTTACTAGCTGCAATATTTGTGATAATTCTTATTAACAGCTACCATTGATACATCATTCGAGGCTTTGAGCAAGTAAAATTAATCTCAGTTGCAAAATTTTCAACGCATATCATCACAGTTTGCATAGAACTAAGTATGTTCCAAATAGTGAAGAGTGGAACACTGAAATCTTAATCTTATCTTACCTAACAGGTTTTTTTTTTGGGGGGGGGGGGGGTATTTTCGAGTTTCACCTTTATTTCACCTCTATTTCAATTGGTTTATTATATGTTAAGATATGTAAAGTACAGTTTGGGGTCAGTGCAATTGGAATTTTAATGAAGTTATAGGCCAGTAGCTTTTTTGTAGTCAAATGACTATGGTACTGTGGCTGGAGCAAGACGGAATACATCAGTAGTGGGCCCATTTCATGTAAAGTGGTCCATCATGGGCCAGTGCCAAGTGGAACTATTTCTACCGTGTTACATGCTAATCAAATTGATGAAGCACATCAAAGAAAAACAATTAAATTGTTGATGTATATGGAGATGGTCTGAGTAGCAAAGATAAATACTGGTCCGAGTGGTCTTACAATATAAATTAATTGGTCCGAGTGGTCTTTTGGTTTGGTCTGAGTGGTTTTTGGTTTGGTCCGAGTAGTCTTTTGGGTTGGTCCGAGTGTTCCCTCTTTTGGTCCAACTTGTCTTATTTTTGGTCAGAGAGGTCTTTGGTCCGAAAGGTCTTTGGACCGAGTGGTCTTTAGTCCGAGTGGTCTGGATACCATGTGGAATATTGGGGTTCACGGTGGCTAAGTGGGTAAGATACTGACTCGCTAGTCTGGAGGTCTGGTGTTCGATCCCTGCATTCACCGAGAAAGTTCATCTAGATTTTCTGGCGGGGTTCCCCCTTGTCAGTGATGCAGGACGGAGGGCCTGACAAGTACAGCTGTCTAGTCATTCAGATGTGAGCATGTAAAAGATCCCTTAACAGTTGGAAATCGATATAAGAGTAGGCCGTAGTGCTGCTGTCCGGGCAAAATTTCCCTCATAGCACAATGTATGGCGTATGCCTGTCTTCATTAGCCTAGTTCAGAGCAAAACAGTAGGACGTTAAACCCCATTTCATTTCATTTCACTTGTTGAATATGTATATAATTTAGAAATTTTACAAGTTTAACCTCCAGTGCTTGCAATATTCTAGAACAACGGCCATTGATTGTCTCTCGATATTGCAAACAACTATTATTTGCGTTTCCTACTAATCATTAAACAGCAATAGCTGCAGTAATAAAGATAGGTTGCCAGGCAACGAAACATACGCCCACAGCAGCTAAATCGTCCGGGCAGTCAACAAGGATTGTCGCATATTTTTACTTTTTTCGGTAATGAAATATTTATAATACATTAAAATCTGATTAAGAGTAACATCTCATTAAGTAATTATCAGAAAACCATTAGAATTTGTTTGGTTTTTATAAAGTTCTGCCCCATGCTAACGTTTAGTATACAAAACTTTTAACATCATGGATTTAGCTGTTCAAGTCATAAAAATTCATTGAAAATCAATATACTTGTTCGTCTCAAGGCCTTAAACTCTGTGTATCAATCTGAAGTCAATCGGATGATAACTTTAGCCTCTGGAGCGTCACAAGATTTTTCAAAGTGATCAAGGGACATAACTTTGGCAGTAATTATCAGAAATCGTTGAAAATCAATATGATTCTTTGTCTCATGACCTCAAACACTGTGTATGAATTTAAAGTCAATCGGATATTAACTTTAGCCTCTAGAGCGTCCACAAGATTTTTCAAAGTGATCAAGGGCCATAACTCTGGCAGTAATTATCGGAAATTGCTGAAAATCAATAGGCTGCTTCGTCTCATGACCTTAAACACTGTGTATATCTGGTAGTAATTATGGAAAATTGCTGAAAATCAACAGGCTTCTTCATCTCATAACCTTAAACACTGTGTATAAATTTAAAGTCAATCGGATATTAACTTCAGCCTATAGATGGACGGACTCGGCCGACAACAATATACGACCACATTACAATGTGGGCGTATAAAAACCTATACTAATACTTTAATAGCTAGAGCTACTACATTTTGTAATTCCTTATTTCTTAAAACCATCATTAACCAAATTGTTTTATACACAGTGGAACTGAATCAGGCTTTTATGTCTCATCGGCACTTTGTGATGTCATTTTTAAGACTGACTTTTTATTGTTTTTATTTAGGATACTGTGGCCATGCGGCATTTTTACTGTCTGCCATTGGCTCTTTTATGGATACAAGGTGTTTACGCTATTGAACAGAGTTTTGCAGTTGTGTAATTCAAGCGACTTGCAATAAAAAGAATCCTTGGCAGTGAGAACATACCAACAGTGAGGCTGATGTCCCCTGCCAAAATCCCAAAATAAATAGATGACACATATTAATTAATAGCACATTTATTTTTTTTACAAAAGTATCAAGCAATCAAACTGATTATCAACTATACACTAAGTTTCATCACTCTCTATCAGATAGAATTAAAGTTATCTTGTCCCAAAGCATCGACCATTACCAATAAAATTGCTTAGCTCTGCTTAGCTTTAGCTCAAAATTTTAATCATTGAATTCAGTCAAGACATTCACTTAATAATGAACATTTACATCAAGTTTAAACATTCTACCTCAATTAAAAGCAGAGTTATGTTATAATGATATAATGAATCTATACTCAGAGTTTCATCACTCTCACTTAATTAAAACCAAAGTTATCGTGCCCCAAAGCATCAACTAATCAGATTGCTTATCTCTGCTTACCGTAAGCAGACAATGTTTATCATCGAACTCCATCAAGCCATTCACCTATCGCTCTGCTTACCATGAGCAGAAAATACTCATTATCAAACTTAGTCAAGGTATTGATGTGACAAAACTATACACCAAGTGTCCTCACTCTCACTTAATTAGAACTAAAGTAAAGCATCAACCAATCAAACAGCTTATCTCTGCTGACCCTAAGCAGAAAATTCTCATCTTCGAAACTCCATCAAGGCATTCACCTAATAAACACCTACCCCAAGTGTGAACATTCTAGCTCAATTAGAATAAGAGTTATTGTGTTCAAAAGTCTCGACCATTCAAATTGCTTGGTGCTCTGCTTACCCTGAGCAGAAAATGCTCATTATCGAACTTAGTCAAGGTATTGATGTAATGAAACTATACACCTATTTTCATCTTTCTCACTTAATTAGAACTAAAATTATTGTGTCCCAAAGCATCAACCAATCAAATTGCTTATCTCTGCTTACCCTAAGCAGAAAATGCTCATCTTCGAACTCCATCAAGACATTGACTTATTACACAACTACACCAAATTTAAATATTCTAGCTCAATTGTTGTGTCCTAAAAAGTGTGACGGACAGACAGACGGACAGATGAACCCATTTTAATAGTAGCCTGCTTTCTTCGAAAGGCGGGGGACAATTAGCAGAGAAGGTGGAACTTCAGTTTTGGAAAAAATTTCTCACCGTCACATTCCACACATGATCATAAAACATTACCAGGTTAGTCTGAAAATGACTGCAGCAGGGGTTTCATTAAATATGAATGAAAGCTCAAAAAAAGTGCTGTAGGCAATCAAATTAAGCGCTGTAGACGCGAAATAACCTAGGGGGTTCGGAGACATGAACCCCGCCCCCTGCCCCCTGCCCCCCACCCGGAGAAAGTTACACACACAGTTTGGAAGTAGACAATTTTATAACAATGAATTTCACACCATCTACGCTTGTTTTCATCTGCTTGACACTAGATTATAGCATTATGAAGTATTAAATCTAAATAAATTAAAACGCATCCCCAGGTCATCTAAAATAGTTCTGTCGTAACAACACCACAGTAAATATAGTGGTAGCTGGAATGGAAATGCACACGGCTCGATGCCTGGTGTATTTAATCATTCAAAAAGTTTTAAACAATTTCCATAAATAAAGGTTATGAATAATTTATAAGAAAATTTACAAAATCAAATAATTAGATTGGAAAAATATTTCATATATAAATATAATTTGTTGCATAAATATAGATAGGATATGTGAGAAAAGAATTCCAGGGGATGTTACTTGTCCTCCGCACGCGGTACATTTATACTGTACCATGCACAGGTGCGATTCGTGTTTTGATAATCAAGGTATTACAGATATTTTAAAATCTGAATTCTACACCTCAACGGTGAAGTATTGCGACAGGTAGCTTTTTTTTAAACATTTCGAGGCCTGCTTGTACTTGAGACCACTGTGTCTAAGTAATAAATGTTTTCAATTTGTACTTTTTTTATTAGAAAAAAAATGTTCACATCAATTTTGCTGAAGTTCTAGTATTATAGGCCTGATTAGTGATTTTCGCTAGCTTTACTGAACTCCAGTGAGAGTAATGTGACAGAAAAACAACATCAAGCATTAATCAAT